ATTCGAAAATGTACCTCTGGTTTTGAATGAGACAGTGAATTGAAGCTTTTTTGCAGATGAATCAACCAAATGCCAAAAAAAGATATCGAGTGCCAGCGGATCGAATGGAGCGGGCTGTTAAATATTGTATTGAAAATAATATTTCGGCCCGTGATGGTAGTGAAATGTTTTCCATTTCAAAGTCGGCGCTTCATCGTAATATGCAGGCAGCCAAACGACTGAATGACTTTCAGGATTTTAAACACGAGCCAAACATAGGCAATAGGCATAGGCAAACGAGCATCAATTGGTGGAATACTTACTTACTGCATCGAAAATATGCTACGGCTTAAGTTCCAAAGGGCTGCGTTGTCTGGCCTTTAAGTATGCAAAAGAACTACATCTAAACTATCCGCCGAAATGGGACGATGATCAATGCGCCAGTGAAGATTGGCTGAAAGGATTTAAAGCTCGTCATAAGGAACTTTTAAGTTTACGCAAACCGGAAAAAACAAGTTTAAGTAGAGCTACGTCATTTAACCCCACTAATGTTAATACATTTTTCGATAATTTAGAAAGAGTCTTGAGCAAGCATCACTTTACCCCCGACAGGGTATTCAACGCTGATGAGACAGGGGTCACAACAGTTACAGACCCACCAAGGGTGTTCGCAAAAAAAGGGCTTAAGCAAGTAGGGCAAGCAACTTCGGCTGAAAGGGGACAGCTTGTTACGGTTCTCAATTTTATAAACGCTTCCGGAAATTTTATTTTTCCGGTCTTTATATTTCCACGGGTGAATTTTAAAAACTTCATGTTAAAACGTGCTCCTATTGGAAGTCTTGGTCTAGCGAATAAATCAGGCTATTTTATTTTTTGTTTATTAAGTTAGTAAGCTCTTCCTTACATTGTTTACGACTTTCTTACACCAAACTGTAACTTGTTTTTGATTATTTTAAGAATATACTTATTACCATACTTATTTTATTTAATGTCCCATCCATAACCAGTACATGTCCCGTTCAAAACGTATGGGTTTTGATTGGGACATTTGTTTTTTTTAATCCTTTCTATCCTATATTTTTATTTAAAATTCTAAATATTTACCAAAAATATATATCACTATGAAGATGTATTACAAATTAATGGACAAAGCCAAGTGTTTTATATGAAAATAAAATAAGTTCCTTTGATTTCTTTTTATTTAGTTTAAATTTAAAATTTTGTAGATATGCTTTAAGAAGTGCCAAATTGGATTCAATTTTTGAAAAATTTTAAACACAATTGTACTTATATACTGGGTGAGTCAATGAAACGGGATGATTTGGGAACGCCACTGCAGATAAAGTAGATGGGAGGGGGGCTTGGGTCGTCAACGTTGTGAATCTAGAGATCGGGAAGTTAGTTATCATGGATACTTGGTCGGGTAAGCGTATTACCAAAATGGGGAGAGTTACGTCCGTGTGAGACGAGCGTTTCGTTTACATTACCGTTTGCCGCCTCGCGCTCGTGTACCATCTAACAACGCCATTCAAACGTGGGTAAGTAACTTTGAAAGCAGTGGTTCAACAACAAAAAAAAGAGGTGGAAGTGCTAGAACTGTGCGCACGCCAGAGAATATTCAAGCGGTTCGTAATTCATTGGAAGAAAGTCCACGAAGATCCGTTCGACGACGAAGCTTAAATCTCGGATTATCCTACAGCACCACAAGAAGAATTTTGCATAAATACCTTCACCACCATCCATATAAAATTCAGATTGTGCGATCTCTCAACGTTCGAGATTACGCTACTCGATTAAGGTTTTGTGAACAAACGTTAGAGCATATCAATGAAAACGATAACGTACTGCATAATCTTTGGATGAGCGATGAAGCCCACTTTCATCTTACTGGCTTCGTCAACAAACAAAATTTTCGGTATTGGTCAGACAATAAACCTCAAGAATTACACGGAAGACCCCTACATTCAGAGAAAGTAACCGTGTGGTGTGCGGTTTCTTCGTTAGGGACAATCGGCCCTTATTTTTTTGAGAACCAAGCTGGGAACGTTGTAACAGTGAACTCTGATCGTTACGTCAATATGTTGAACAATTTTTTTCTTCCTGCAATCGAGAACTACAGAAATGAAACAACGATTTTCCAACAAGATCGTGAAACATGCCATACAGCACGAGTGTCAATGGGTTTACTAAGACAGGTGTTCCCCGGTCGTCTTATGAGCAAGAACGGCGATATTCCCTGGCCACCTCGCTCTCCGGATTTGTCGGCATGCGACTTTTTTCTTTGGGGGTACCTAAAAACAAAAGTGTTTCAAAGTAACCCCCCGAGGACTATCCAGGCATTAAAAGAAAGGATTAGATTTGAAATAGCCGCAATACCGCTAGAAATGCTGCGCAATGTTATGGGGAACTTTGCAACGAGGCTGCAAGAATGTGTGCGAAACAATGGAGGCCACCTTTCGGACATTATTTTTTAAAAATGAACGATTGTGCACTAACATAATACTACTTCCATTCCTGTAGATCATGTTTTCATCAATAAACTTTACAAAAAATGGTTCTTTTAATGTTTTCTGAGTTTTTTAAATCATCCCGTTTCATTGACTCACCTGTTATAACACATTTATTCAACAATCGAATAGCTTTTTGGATCTCTCTCTGATAAAAAGGTTTAAATCATTTTTTGTTCTAACTAATCCACTCACCACTTCTATTTTTCTAACAAATTCGTCGGATACTGTATCAACAACTTTTTGGGAATTCATTTCAGTTTTTCGTCGTACACACTAGAACTAAACATCACAGCAATCACAGCAACTCAATATGGTCAAATAAAAAAATACATTAACGTCAAAGTCACGTTTTCTTCAACTGACGCAACAGAGTTAGAGAGTAATCTAATTAATTGAGAAAAAATAAAATAAAAAATGTTATCTTCTGGTATAACGTCTTGACCTCCAGGTCACGTAATCCAATTAATTGAGAAAAATTAAATAAAACTGTTATCTTTTGGCCTTTTGACCTCCAAATCATGCAATCCAATTAATTGAACAAAAATAAAATAAAATTGTAATCATATGACGTTTCAATTATCCAGCAAAAATTACTTACCATGTGCAATATTAAATGGAAATATTTAACAAATTTGTTATTTTCATATCATCATATGACTCGTATAATTTTTATTTTATTCTGTATATAATTCACAAATTTGAAAGGAATCAGTATCAGTTGAAACTGTGTTTTTCGATTACTAATACTACTACTACTACTATTAGCATTCGCTATTACTTCATCATCACGATGACAACAACACCCAGCACAATTGTACTCTTTAGTCAGAACCCAATACACTTTCCAGCTAAGGTTGGTTTAGTGGTAATGAAGCAATTATTTCAGTAGGTATTCCTTACATTTCTTATAATTTTATTTTAGTGACTGGTTTTTATTTGAATTAATTGCAGTGTTGTTTTTATTTTCTCGCTTCTTGTTATTTCCATTAATTTCTCTGTTTGTCTACATTTTTTTTAACAAGTGATTTTACAAAATGTTTTTATTTTATTTTCAGATATGGTGTAAAAGATATGTATACATGAGGAGAGAAAATATTTATATCGTTGAGTTATTCTCCTCAAACGATTACTCTAAAGAGAAAATTCGGTAATTTACCGGTAAAGTATATGAGGACGAAACTCGAAAAAGAAGGAGATTTTAAGATTTTGGAAAACGTAGTGAAAAAGTATAAGTTTAATCTCCTCGATGACCAGTTGGAGGATGTGGATAGAGTGTCTATAGAAGCACCTGGTTATAGTGGTAAGAAACGAAAATTATTTTTAGAAGCACCAACGATTCAAAATTCAGTCAATGATGATGCTGATGATACTGAGGTCGAAGAAGAAGTTGTATCTGCTACTCCTCCTCCTCCTCCTCCAACAAGAAGAAACGATACTGACAATACATTATCGGATATATTGTCACAGGCACTTGAATAAAACAAACTTTTTGTATATTAAAATATAAAATAAAACAATTTAATTATAAAACCTGGTTTATTATTTTTTATTTAAGATTCACAATATTCTAAATATATATAAAACATATCTTTTCTCTGTTTGAAAGTTCTATAAAGTTTTGTGTGAAATCATTAAGAGTAAATTCTAAATTATGAAAAATAATGTATGTGCTATTGCCAAATAATGTTTCCAAATTATATCTTCCACAATGCATTGCAGAATTTTTTCTCGATGCAATAGGATAATAATACATATCATGACCAACTACAAATCCAATGGTTTGATCATTTAAATTTCTTATTGTTGTATTAACGGTAAATTCCTTCCATCCGTTTCCTTGAGTAGCAGGGAAATAGAATGCAGGATACTCCATCAAGACCAGATTGTTTTCAGATTTCTCAAACAAGTAAAAGATTCCATCTTCTACCGAAATAGTATAATTTTCAACTTTTACAACATCTCGTAAATAAATTGGATTATCGATAGTCACATTTAATTTAGTGGGAAAATTATAATTCTCAATATTCATATCATCTTGTATGTACAGTGTTCTACAAACGCTGCAACTTATTGCATAGAAAACTAAAATGAGTAGTAAAAACATTTTTTTTTTTGACTTAAAAGTTGTTTACCAAACTACTAATGTTTGTTAATATATGAGTAGCTCAAAGAAACATATCACTTTTATACATTTTTTAAATCTTCCCCCTCTTAAAATTAAAAAAATAAAACAACACATTTTCTTTTAACTACTTTTATTAATATTACTTTTATACCATATATTTAAGGGAAAGTTGCCAAATTTGGACCACCACCTTCATTGGATCAGCCCGATATTTTTAGTATGGAGCATATATTTGCAACGCCACCTGCACTCACAGCATCTGAGACAATAACACTTGCGAATGCATCAGTGTTCTGTTACCAAGCAGATGTATCGTATCGATGCCACACGAAATTCGATTTCGCGCGTTCCTGATGTAATATTGTGACATCGTCGCTAAAGAAATCATGGAAAAACGGTAAGTCGTATCGCAAATCTCATTGCAGTAGTCGAAAGCTTGTTTGTTTCCCCTTCTTTGGAGTGCATTGTGTGGCTGTTTGGGTTATGTGCTCCTTTTACACGCATAGACAAAATACAAAAACTGCCGGTTGCCTAAATTGGACCGCACGAGGGTTCCTCATTTGGACTGGTCCAATTTAGGAAACTGATCTGTTTAGAACTAATTTTAATTCTGTTTCTTTGCGGTTTGCAGAGGAAAATACGGAAAGTGGTCTGAAAATGAACTCCAGTTGGCTGTCGACGCATTCAGGAGGGGTGGCATTGGGCTAAACGAATGTGCAAAGGTGTATCATATTCCCAAGGCTACTTTAAAGCGACATATTGAAAATAAGAACAAAATAGCTAATGCCGGCACTAAGAAATTTGGCAAAGGCACAATTTTGCCAAAAGACGTAGAAGAGGAACTTGTGAAGCATATAATAAAATTGGAGGAGATGATGTTTGGCTTGACCATTACGGATATAAGAAAACTTGCGTTTGAAATCGCAGCAAAAAATAATATCGCACATAAGTTCAGTATGCAAAAGGGTCTTGCGGGTAAAAAATGGTACTATGCATTCATGCGGCGTCATCCAACTTTGACCTTAAGGCAGCCCGAATCAACGTCGATAGCCAGAGCCAGAGGGTTCAACAGGCAAAATGTTTATCACTTTTTTGATATACTCGAAAGGATCAATGTCGAAAATAAATTAGACGCCACCAGAATCTACAACGTCGATGAGAGTGGCTTCTCAACAGTACAAAAGAAATCGCAGAAAATAATTGGACTAAAGGGAAAGAAGCAAATAGGGGCCATTGCAAGTGGGGAACGTGGTGTGAATACCACAATGGTTTGCTGTGTCAGTGCAGCGGGTCAATTCATTCCACCTATGCTGATTTTCAAGCGTATGATAATGTCTCCTGAGCTCAAAGTAGGTGCACCTCCTGGCAGTTTAGTCGAAATATCTGGAAGCGGTTATATAAATTCCGAACTTTTTTGTAAATGGCTGCAACATTTCATCAGTGTGGTGAAGCCAAATGAAGAGATGAAGGTTCTTCTGTTACTGGACGGCCATTCCACTCACAGTAAAAATCTGGACGCGTTGATGCTAGCGCGTGAAAATGGAGTAATTTTACTTCAACTACCTGGACACACGACACATCGGCTCCAACCGCTCGATGTTTTTTTTTTTAAGCCAATGGAAACTTATTACACCCAGGCGATGGAACGTTGGTTAAGAACCAACCCTGGAATGAAAGTAACACAGTTCCAGGTATCGGAACTGCTCTCTGAAGCTTATGGTAAAGCAGCGTGTATTCAGACCGCTGTAAATGGATTTAAAGCAGCTGGAATTTGGCCTATTGATAGGGGTGTTTTTGCCGACCACCAGTTTGCTGCAGCAGATAATCTTTGTCAAGAAGAGCAACCAATGGAGGATGCAGAAATCAATGGTGATGGGAGCGAAGAAAATCGAGAAGACAATCCACTTGAATCCTTAATAAATGAAAGAAGAGCAAGGGCGAATAAGGCGAAAAGAAATTTAGGATGCAGCATGTAAGGAAGCTTTATTGACCAGGGACCCTCTACATCAGGCACTAATCGGAACGCAACCAACGATGAAGTGAAGAAGTCGTCGTTAAATGTGTCTATCGAAGAACTCTCTCCAGTTCCAGTTCCCACCAAAACTCAAAGGTTGTCGAAAGGAGCTCAAAAGGCAGAAGAATTAACCAGTACCCCTTACAAGGACAACTTGATTGTTGTTAAGGAGAAAACGGCAAGAAGGAAAGGAAAACAACAAAAAAACCTCTTGGTTCTGTCCTTTGTGCAAGGCAAATGAGAAGAAGGACATGATCCAGTGTATGCAGTGTGATGTGTGGGTTCACGCGGAATGCGCCAATGTCAGTCCTCTTCGGAAAATATATTACTGTCAACAATGTTTGGGTTATACCTACTAATGAATAAAACACGTTTTTGCACTTGTTTTTGTACTCTTGTTTTACGGTCCAATTTAGGATACCTCCGGTTCAATTTCGGCAACCAGTTTCCTAAATTGTACCAGTTGCAAAAAGTTTTTCAAAAACGGATATTGAATTGTAAAATACCATTTTCACTGCTACTTTGCGTTAAATAGTTTAGAGAAGAACTATACTTTATGTTTCTGACCTCCGAACCCGAATATTTTGCATCCATACGGAGATATTTAACAAAAACCGAAAACTGGTCCAAATTTGGCAACCTTCCCCTAATATAATAGCATTTTCATAAGCACAAGCTAGATCGTTAAAAAGATGATTTTTACAATGGTAATGGTAGGTTTTAATATCACTCCAATCACAAGACAAGGATCCATAAATTTGTTTTCTTAAGGTTTTAAAACTTGGACAATTGAGTTCCTCTACATTAATTATATGGTTGGAAATGAATTTACTTAAAACATTTTTTTTGCTCAGTCCTTTAACGATTACATATTCTTCACCTACAATGTGTTTTATAAAGTCACTTAGATCTTCTAAATGCAGATCGGAATCCACTCGAAATCCATTATCCCAACTTAGTCCATGTATATGTCTAGTTTTCCAATCAACACATTCTCGAAATTTACCATCAAAGAAGGCGATACATGGTAGTCGTACAAATTTATGAGCCATACATCTATTTTTCATATTTAAAATAGCTATTTCTCTAATATAAAAGTCACTTTTTTTATATTGAAATCCATAAAAGTCGATCACAAACATTTTTTTAAAGCAATTCTAACAACACTAGTTAGAGGATTATACTTCACTAAACGATCGTGTAGTAGTAAGCAGTAAGCGGTTGTGTTGGCAGGAATATTCTTATTCGTCTCGAATTCAATTCTTATATCCACTGCCCCTCCCTTTATTACATCATCATTTTGACGACTGCAATCGATAACAATTAGAGGAGCTAGTTGTAGATAATTTTCTGGTGATAAACAAGGCTCGCTTTGATTTTTATAATAATACGACTGTTGGAACTGTGTGTACATTTCATATAAAATGGCCCATTGTTTGTTATCGAAGTTGAGGTTTAAGTTATCATAAGGATAAATTTCAGAATTAAGATAAAGTTTAATATTCGTTAAAGCAGTGATCAAACTGACTCATAAATCTTCCTGGTATATTTTTTCTATTAGTTTGAAATCCAAAAATAATATACCGAGGTTTTTCCAATTGAGCAGTCGTTTTTATTGCCCATGAATGTCTCATTGTTTCTTGCAATAGAGGATACTCTTGTAACTCCCAACATCTAAAAGGTATATCAAGATCTTAAGACAGTCGAAGGTGGGTTAGGGTGTGACAACCTCGAGGTGCGAAAGACGAGGCGAAGAGACTAGACAGACAAAGTGTGTCGCTAGTGGACTCGGTCATTTTTTGGCCTTAACGTTAGTTATTTGTTTTACTTATTTTTTAAATGAGTATTGTGTTAATGTGTTGTTTGAATATTAAAATCATATTCATAATCTAAATCTCCTTCATTCATTCCTAAGAACCCATGAAGAGTGAGGCCGGGCAAGTTACAATGGGATCTACTAATGTGAAAGCCTTAAAGGAGATGGGTTCATCTGTGGAGCATCCATATATTGCCATTGCAGATAGTCAGCAAATAATGGAAGCCCAATTTATTGATATTGTAGAAGCTTACAAAATTGATCAAAAGTCACCATTAATATTTCGTGTTATGCATAAAATTAAGGATGTTCATTTAACACCAAAAATGCAATATTCCATGAAGGTTAATATTGCCGCTGAATTAATGAATCATACTGCAGCTACCTTCTTATATAGCTTATTAAGCTATAGCTTAGTAAGTAGAAAAGCTTCACCTCCTGATGGGAAAGAAGTTAAATGGTGTGTGACAAGAGCAGTCGGGTCACATTAAATTATTGGAGAAAAGCTTTTCAGATGGTAATGAAATGACAATTTCGTAGGAGCACCCCAACAGGTAATTTAAAGTCAATCAACTAAACTACTTTCTCAAGTTGGTTGATTAATTGCTTTGAACGCTATTAAGCAGATATGGAAGTATCTACATTCAAATGGAGCAACTTCTTAAGGCCACGTTGTCTAAATCAATATGCCTTGGAAAATTTATTTGGTAGTATTCGTGGAGGGTGTGGTATCGGAGATAATCCAACCTTTGAACAGTTTATGACGTCTTTAAAAATGCAAATTTTGACGCAACAGAAAAAAATTGGCAGCAACTGTGAAGATGATCATCATTTAAGAAATTTAACCCAGTTTCTACACGTCGAGGATGAAGAAGTGGGTGAACCATCATCTCAGGCAAATACAATCGAAAACTTAAATGATAATGCAGAAGCGATTGATATAGCTGTAACAGAAGGGACAACAGCAACGTTGTCAGTTGCTTATGTAAGCGGATTTATTACAAAAAAAATCTTGAGCATTTAAATTGTGACATGCTCCAATGAATTACTGTCAAATTCCGACACACCTCATAATTTATATATAACTTTTAGAGAGTGGTCAGACACAACAATTTACAATATTCTTCTGAATCGTTAGTAGCCGTAGTCTGCCGTAGGGCTGACCATTATCGAATTAGAATATATTCTGGAAAATATTCAAGGTCACAAAAATGTGACGTATTTATTACCTAACAACTTTTCTTCGGAGCATTTTTTTGAAAAATTAGTCAACACGTTATTGCTGCATTATTGTTTCCTCACCCTGTATATGTAATCAAATAATGTTATCCATTGTTCTATGACAGTTTTGTATTGTATTTTATATATATATTAAATATTTTCCTTCTTTTGTCTTGTCTTATTTTTTATAATCAAAACATAAATTTATACATAATATAGAACTATAAGAACCTTATAAATGTATTCTAAATTCTATAACTAATACCTATTAACGAAGTATTTAAGAATGTTAGGTCGTTTGAACAATGAGGGCAAAAATACAACAATATAACTGAGGGGTAATTATATATTATTTCAAAGGTTACATTTTCCACTGTTGAAACGAAGGGTTTTTAAATATTTTTTAAACACAGTGCAGCCTTTGTACAAACTGCCTAGCAGACAGACGGTAACTAGGTTACTAGACAAAAAATATGCGGATTTGAGCAATATTACTAAAACCCACAGATGTTTGGACTGAAACTCAAACAACAATGTTATTTAGGTCTGACGTCGCATTTTTTAAAAATGATGGAGCCTAAGTACGAACTTAAATCACTAATTAGTGGTGTTTTTCAATTGTTAGAAAGCCACACCACTGCGTATATTCAAGAAAATATCTTAAGAATTTGCAACGAATGGAATATTGAAATAAACAAAGTTTCTACCGATAACGGTGGTAATACACGGGTAGTCAAAGATTCAACTTCCATTTTTGGCAAGAATGGGCACTTGCCATGCTTTGCTCATACGCTAAATCTAGTTCCAGGCAAAGCTATTGATTTGTCAGATGATATAATTAATTAAAGAGGAGAAAAAAAATTAATGACATAGTTACATTCACCAAACAGTCTATTTCAGTTTCTGATAAACTTCTTCGAATACAAATAGCACAGGGAGAATCAGAAATTCGTTAAAATTAATACAAGAAGTCTCAACTCGCTGGAACTCTACATTTTATATAATAGACCGTTTTGTATCGCTTAGCAGGGTCGGTTTTCTGACTACGCCTCCAGGTGCGTTGTTTTTTTATTCCGCCCGCCGAGCCGCTTTTATAGGTAGTCGGTATTGCGTGTCGCATTCAGACAAATAAAATAAATTTGTTTATTGGTATGAGGTGTAGAAGTAGCCGTTATCACTGTGTAGTCTAGTCAAATAGCTTGAGTTGGAAGGGAATCACGATACGTGGTGTCCGCCGTGTTCGTTTCTCGGTATTATCGGTTACTTTAAAGTTTATTTCCACGGCTGTCCACCGCTGCCGCTGCCAGAAGAATGTGAATCCCTCTAAGAAATTAAGCAGCGTTAGCAAGAGGAAACTTAACCTAGAAAAATAAAAGAAACAAGAAGTTCTGAAAAAATCCCGAAATTGAGGAATTTTTTCCAGCCTGATGCAGGTCCAAGCTGTGGCAGCATCATCGCTACAACCTCTACAGAAAACGAAAAAGAGGTAGGTCCTAACTTAAATTATTTAACTTTTAGGGTTAGCTATTAATATTTTTTAATGTATTTTAAAATAACATCTGCGTTAAATTTGGTTGGTAAAGCATACAAGCTAACAGCGCAAAGTTTACTTTTGTCACTGTAAATTTTTCCAACCAAAAAGTTACGTTACCCATCGCAGGTAAGTGCACACATACATAGATGCATGCATTAACACATTTAAAGTTGAGTGTTCTCCGAAAAAGAATTTCGACCGCACTCCGCGTATATCCTATAAGTACGTGCACATGGTTCTCAGTCTCGTGCATGCCTCGTGGTAAAAATTTCGTAAATCATGGAGTGTTTTCTGTGTAATTGTGGAAATGATAAATCAAGAGGAAAAAGTGAAAAAGTAAAATAATTTGATTTGACTATAAGGTCAAATTGTCAAAAATTTTTAAATTGCAAAAAATTAATTAATCAATAATTTTATATCAAATTAATTAACAGTTTTTAATATTTACTATTCGGTTTTAATATTATTCTACATTATCCTCTTAATAAGGTACGATTGAAATGCAGCAATTTTAGTTGTGTTAATTAATTTTCTAAATGTTCAAATACTGCATATACAGGGTGATTCAGTCATAATGTCATTAATTTTAAGAGCAGATAGAGAAAAATGAGTATAATACGATGGCGTGATTAAAAAAAAATTTAAATGCATATTTAAGCTGAAAAAAAAT